GATGCTGTCTTTTTTGGAGCATATTTCCCAACATTTTAGGAATGTTATGTTCTCTGGGATCCAGGTGTGAGGGCCAGGTGGCAGGAACACAAGGGGCCAGGTAGCAGGAACACAAGGGGCCAGGTGGCAGGAACACAAGGGGCCAGGTTTGAGGGCCAGGTGGCAGGAACACAAGGGGCCAGGTGACACGTTTGTCTTTATTAAAAACCTGGTACTTGAAACATTTAAATGCAGAACAAAAACAAGAGCAACAAGACGACTATAGTTTGTGGCTGCCTTTTAACGTGGCTCATACCTTCAGTTATATGTCGTGCTCAATATATCCGTAACACTACACTGTCATTAAAAATAAAGTAATTGAATTCGTGCGCAAACTATTTTATATTACCATTAGTAGAAATATAAACATACTATTTAAACTCGTGAAGCTTCAGTGATTTAGAGGTCAGGAAAGGAGTAGTCAAGGTTGCATTTTGAAAAAGGAACCAAACATTGCATGAACTGACACTTCGCCCGAGTGTTTTGTACGCCTGACTGGTGTCCCCGGAAGTAAGCAGTTGTATGGTTTTACGTACCGTACCTAGTGAGTAGCTGTAGATGGTTCCAAGACTTATAAACCCTTCCTGAACTCTAGATTTAAGTAAAGTAACTGGTTTTTAGCTCCGAATACGTGTAGTTAATGTCTTTACGTATCTTTGGACTGGAAGACAAAATCCACGTTGGCCCCTAAGATACACAATACTGTAGCTCTTGACTATTACTACACAAGGACTTATTGTAGTCTAAGATTCACAAGCTGTATAGAATAACTGATGGCCTGTAGTTTCGTATCTACCGTAATCAACATGATGAATACGTATGCTAGCTTACCTACTGCATTCCACAACCCGCGAATGTGTCTGTTGTCAACTTGATGGTCTCTACTTTTTCATTTGCTGTAGTCTATATGAATTACAGTGTCGTCTGATTGTTGCTGTTCCGTTATACCAGCTGGGTGATGCACCTTACTACACACACCTACACTTACACGCTCTAAGAAACACACACTTACACTCCATAAGGCGGTCCAAGTTGTTTACTTTTTTGGGCTAAAGTTATAAGAGAGAAATTATGTGTGGGTTAGTTTGTAGTTTGTGGGACGGTGAGATCTATTACCAAGACAGGGTGAGGGGGGGGGGGGATTTCTTGATGGGGATTAAATTTATCAGCTTGGTTGAAGACGGTTGAAAGAAAATGAATCTTGTGAAGAGATTGACCCCGGAAATAGTTTAACTTACAAGGATTTAAGTGTGGACATGCAGGAATAACTGGACACTGGTAAATAACCGGATAAAAGGTGAATAAATGCTGACAAAAAGTCCCTGTGTGGGGGTGGGGAAGACCTCAAGCCAAACAACCTCTGGGAGTCATTTAAAAGATTTCTCGTGTTAGAATACGGGTGATTTTAAGCTACGGTGACATTTAATGAGTGTGTGTATGATGGTTTATTTTAGTGGGTGGAGGACTGGGCCTGGGAAGAGGGGCGGGGGCATCTGCAGGAGGCGGTGAAGGTGCATTTGACTGCTGGGGGTGAAGAGTACCTGCTGACGGTGTAGACTGTAGAGGCTACAGCTGACTATATTGAAATGTGGGAGGACACTTGTTGGTGGATAGGGAGACGAATAAACAGATAATCAAGGATGGATAATATAATGGAGATGAAAATAGGGGAAAAAGAGGAACAGAAGAGGAGTAAAGGGGATGACGGTAAGCCCGAGGAGACTAGAGGTGAGAGGAGGTGTGTGGCCGAGGCTTCTAGTATCAGCGGCTCTTCCCACCTTCATTAGTACCTGTCGCTCGTGTTGGGTCCGCGTACACCTGGTCCCTCTCACCTGCCTAGAGGTGGGTCTCGTACACCTGGTCTCTCTCACTTGCCTGAAGGTGGGTTTGCCGTACACCTGCTCCCTCTCACTTGCCTGAAGGTGGGTTTGCCGTACACCTGCTCCCTCTCACCGGCCTGATGGAGGGTCTGCCGTACACTTGGTCCCTCTCTCGTGGCAGGGAATGGCTTTGAAGTGTCTAAGGAGTTGTTTCACCGCTAATGAGAGTTTGTTTTGGCGATGGTCGCTGTGTGAGGTCTTTGTGGAGGAGCGTCGCGGGGCATTAACTAAAGCCAGGTGTGACTGAGGAGTGGATAGAAGGCGTGTCCTCCTCCTCTTCCTTCTCCTCTACCTCTTCCTTCTCCTCCTCTTCATACTTTTCCTCCTCCTCCTCCTGTTCCTCCTCTTCCTCCTGTTGCCCCTCTTCCTCCTTCTCACCCCGCCCTGTTTTATGCTAACCACCTCCTCCTCTCGCCTAACTTCTATTGAGTTACACTTTGCGTTTAAGCTCAAAAGTTCGTACCTTATTGAACAATTGGATTTACGGCCTGTGAGACGCTGCTGGCTATTGTGGGCGTGGCGGGGGAGTGTGTGGGCGTGGCGGGGGAGTGTGTGGGCGTGGCGGGGGAGTGTGTGGGCGTGGCGGGGGAGTGTGTGGGCGTGGCGGGGGAGTGTGTGGGCGTGGCGAGGGAGTGTGTGGGTGTGGACGTGACAGTGTGTGTGTGGGTGGTGTAGGCAGAGGGAAGACGTCTGGTGCAGGTAGGTAAGACAGGCTCCTTGTGGGTCACATTAGCATTAAGTAGCTAGCGTCTTAAACGGCTTCTTCGTCCCCCTCCTCCCTCCCCCCTCGTCTCTTCTTCCTCCTCCTCCTCTCCTTCTCCGCCTCCTCCGCCTCCTCCTCCGCCGCTTCCTCTTCCTTCTCCTCTTCCTCCTTCTGTATTTTGTATGCATACGTGTATATGTATGTATGTTACTGAAGAATATGTGTACTCGTATATACAGTACAATTGTTGGTATCAAGTTATATAAAAGTTAATTAAACGTCATAGGAAACAGTGTAGTAAGAGTAGCTACCCGTGTTGTGTTCAGGTAGGAAATTAAATTAGTGTCCCCTTCTGTACCTGCTGTCGTTTTTTTTCTTTTCTCTTCTTTGTTATTTAGTTTTATTGAAGTGTTGAAATATTGCTGGAAAAAAAATTAATGTTTTGCGAGTATATTTATTGAGTGCAAAAACATCAGCAGCAACATAAATATACAATGGGGATCATCTAAAGATTAGTCTCCCAGCTTATTTCATCTTAAATGCTAACCTAACCTAACCCAACCCAACCCAACCCAACCCAACCCAACCCAACCCAACCCAACCCCGCCGGTAACGTTAGGATGTCTTAATCTTTAGGTGAAACAATTTTGTGGTCAAATCTTCAATGTGATCCTACAATAGTGACCAAGATTCATTCATTAGCCACAGCTCAATAAACGTCCCTCATGCGTATAATACATCCATCAGTCATGTCAGGAGGAGAATACGGAGCAGACAAAACGTACTCACAAGAGAAGGTTTGGGGAGAAGTTTTCAAGCTCCGACACACAGCCAGATGCATGTATTCAAATATTCCTTACGAAATATGAATATAAATGAGAGTAAGAGATTTTCATGTCCTTACCAGCGCCGGGGACTTTGAGAGATTCCCAGCGAGTATGAGAAGAAAGTATTGAAATATTGTAGTCACCCCAAAAACTATCTTTATTTGGGGTGATCTATGAATTCCAGAATGAACACTGCGACTCCTGTTGTCTCGGTAAGGTTGTCAAAATCTTTGGTCCGTTGTGTCAGATTTTTTCAACACTATTTGGGTTCAGATAAGTCAGGATCTTCTATATAACTCACACCTCAAGAGCAGTTTGTATTCATTTGCCAGTAATTTATATAATGAAACGTATATTAGGGTGTTATATTATGGTGAAAGTAAGTTGTGCTTTGCTGAGGAGTAGTGGAGTTTGTGTGTTGGAGAGAGTGGTGGTGAGAGAGAGAGTGGTGGTGAGAGAGAGTGGTGGTGGCGAGGGAGAGAGTGGTGGCGAGGGAGAGAGTGGTGGCGAGGGAGAGAGTGGCGAGAGAGAGTGAGGAGGGAGAGTGGTGCGAGGAGGTGGTGGCGAGGAGAGAGTGGTGGCGAGGGAAGGTGTGTGTAGGTGGTGTGTGTGTGTGGTGATGGTGAGAGTGTGTGTGTGTTTCTCACCTCAAGGACTCTTCATCCTACACACCTCGGCCACCATCTTGAAGGATATATCCCCATTTAACGTTCTCATCACATCCTTAACTTACACATTCGGATAAAATTAACTTTATATCCCACTTAAGTCAATTAAGGATGAGTGTGTTATGTGAATATTTTTAATTGTCGTTTTTCACACTTGTCATTCTCCACTTTTAACAATGTGGTACTGGTGGATCTGTGGTGCTGGTGGATCTGTGGTACTGGTGGATCTGTGGTACTGGTGGATCTGTGGTACTGGTGGATCTGTGGTACTGGTGGATCTGTGGTGCTGTGTGGATCTGTGGTGCTGGTGGATCTGTGGTACTGGTGGATCTGTGGTACTGGATTGGATCTGTGGTACTGGTGGATCTGTGGTACTGGTGGATCTGTGGTACTGGTGGATCTGTGGTGCTGGTGGATCTGTGGTGCTGGTGGATCTGTGGTACTGGTGGATCTGTGGTACTGGTGGATCTGTGGTGCTGGTGGATCTGTGGTGCTGGTGGATCTGTGGTACTGGTGGATCTGTGGTACTGGTGGATCTGTGGTACTGGTGGATCTGTGGTACTGGTGGATCTGTGGTGCTGGTGGATCTGTGGTGCTGGTGGATCTGTGGTGCTGGTGGATCTGTGGTGCTGGTGGATCTGTGGTACTGGTGGATCTGTGGTGCTGGTGGATCTGTGGTACTGGTGCATCCACAAGACTTAAATTTAGTACTAATTGCAGATCTGTGGAACCTTGTGATGAAAGGGCGGTAAATTATCATTATTATTACAGTATTATTATTAACACATTATTATTAGTAGTAGTATAGTATAGATTATTGTTATTTATTAGTAGTAGTTATTATATATTGGCGTGTGACTAACTGGGATTGTATTGTTTACAGTTGGAGCCTCACAAGAGTGTAGTGAGTGTGGGCAGCAGCGGCGGGGGTCAGCCCAGCCCGGGCGGCCGCTCTCCCGTCCACACCACCCCAAAGGAACAGCGAGACGACGTCAACGGCGTCCTCGAGAACTCGCCCATCTACGTCACCAGTGTCCCCAACCTTACATCTGAACTCCCGCGGGCCAGGTCACGGTCCAGATCCTCCACTCCTAACCGGACGTCTCCAAGCCCGCGGCGCCAACACTCGGCGCGCAGTGCTCGGGACACCCCACCCTCCCCCCTCACGCCCAGCCCTCGGCGGGAGGCGCCTACGCTCAGCAAGAGTGCTGAGAGCCCCAGCGTTGACCGCAGCTCTCGCCGCTCCAGCAAGAGGCGCAGCTCGGCCAAGCTGACCAACGGCCACCAAGGGGTCGGGATCGAGGCCGAGGCCGACGCTAACAAGAGCGGGGACGAGCTTGAACTAACCCACGACCTAAACGACACCCTCGACGACACTGAGGAAATAGACCCGGACGACGCCGCTGAGGCCCAGTGTGACCGTACTGACAGTGAGGACAGACTTGACCTGGAGGGAGCGTGTCTTAGTGAGAGTGGAGACTCCCTGCCAGGTACGCCGGAGAAAGCGTACGGCATCACCCGGTCGTCCCGCGGGAGCCGGCGTGACCGTGCGTCCCCCAGGGAGGTGCTCCTGGACCACGAGCCCCAGCAGGAGGTGCGGGCCAAGACGCCCCTCCACGCCGTCAGCAGCATCGAGAGCCGCGACAGCACAAGGTATGCAACGGTCACTTTAGACTGGTCTTTTGATATCACCCTCGGTGGTCTCTGCCCCCCTCCTCCCCGGTCTCCTGCCTCTTTAATTTATGTTTCCGTGTTCACTTTGCTCCCTGAGTTATTCTCCCTGAGGTGTTCTCCCTGGGGTGTTCTCTCTGAAGTGTTCTTCCTGAGGTGTTCTCCCAGTGAACTATGCCCCACCACCACAGCCCCCCCCCTCCACCACAGTCCCCCCACAGTCCCCCTTCCCCCAAGGGACAGGGGTGGCGTACAGGAGGCCGTCAGCAACATGCGTCCCTCCTTGTGGTGCCCTTTGTCCTGTCCACACCCTGGGTACCCAGTCACGACTCGTGACCTCCCACGCACGACACACACACACACACACATATTGTGTGTATACATGGCATGTATACATTCAGTGTACACATTTGAACTAAGTTCATCACACTACACATGGAAGAAATGTAACATTTCACAGTAGTCTCATGACCCGGGCACACTAACCTGGTAGTGATGACGAGTAGACGATAAGGTTGTGTGTTCCTCTGTGCACGACATATATGTTCCTGTAATAGATTAATGTGACCAGCACGAAACCCATTGATGTTTATGGATAACTTGTATCATGTTTATGTGATGTAATTACAATGTTGTTCATGAATGTTATGTGTATTGGTAGTTTGTGTGTATAAGTAAGAGGTGAATAACCCTTGTTGTTGAATATCTTATATTTTACTTATAATATTACTTTGTTTTATTTTACTGAGAGAGAGAGAGAGAGAGAGAGAGAGAGAGAGAGAGAGAGTCTTATCTACCCCATCAGTTGACCTGTTTCCGTATACCATGAGGCAACAGACCTTTCCTTCTCCTCTTCCACAACAATGCTATGTCTGTATGTCATTCCTCTTGTCTTCATTACCGTATTAGTCTTTCTTCTTTTTTCCGCTAATTTCTTCCTTCCATTATCTCGTCATGTGTCATTTCCATCCATACTAACTCCTTCTATCTCTCTCTTCTCCAACATTCACAATCTGTCTGTTCTCCCCTTCCATATTATCTTTCCTCTTCCTTATTATGTTGTCCTCTCCATTCCTTTCCGTTTTTATCTCCCACTCCTCGTCTCCTTCTCTACCTTCCTCTTCTTCACCTTTCCCTCCCCTCATCTTCTTCCCCTACCTCACTACCCTTCCTTTACTTCCCTCCCTAAACACACTACCCCTAGTCCCACCCACCCTTAACACCACTCACCCACCCACTCCCTTCCCCCAACCCCTCACTACTCCCACATGCTGAGTTACGACATCTTGTAAGAGGAATCAGGGAATTGGCCCGGGCTTTTTCACTCCTTAATCAGTGAGTTACGACGCCCAGAGGGGAAGTCGTTTGGCATGACGGGTCGGAGTGCCGGGAGTCCCAGTCGAGGAAGTCACCCAGATGAATTTCCTGGTCTCGCCCTATCCTGCTAGCTCGGGAATCGGAGGTCCTACGGTAATTTTTTTTCCTTTTTTTTTTTTACCCTCACCACTGACCTGATAATCCGTCTTAACTTGGTCTTTTAGGGGAAGTTTACCGGCTGTATGTTCCCGCGTTATATTTTTTTTACGGTAAATCTGAGAAGCCATATAAATTAAAATATCTTTCAGGGAATTTGACCGGTTAAATTCCCCAAAACTATTTTTTTTTGTCTTTCATTCTCAGAAATTTATATGTTAAATTAAGTCAACCAGAGATCGTAGTTTAGTCCTGTCTTATATTCTCAGAAGTTCAAACATTAAATTTTCTATATCACTGCAAGTTTGAGAATGCGTCCAGCAGGATGCCACTTGGGGACACTGACCTAAAAATAATTTCTTGGCCCATTTTTCCCAAATTCTTATCGGTTCCTACTCTGCATTTCCCCAACAACACAGGAGACTTGAACAGGTGACTAGTTGGGTACACTTGTTAAAAAGAAAAGCCCTTCAGCATTAAGATCTGGCAGTCAATATGACGTTAAAAGTGTAGCAAGACTGTAACTAAATAAGAACATTTATCCTTAGTAAGGGAAGGAAACGCCGTGAACAATTCCTTGAGAATTAAGTGCGGTTAGTAACTCCAGCGAGCATGTCTACTTACACTACACGTGTCAGGAGCGGCTACCTCTTAACAACACACTCAGCGGTATGTACAGCTGTTTATCACCGTGTAACCTCACTCACCCAACGCAAGGGGGTCTCTCTCTCTCTCTCTCTCTCTCTCTCTCTCTCGAGCACCACGTGTTTGTTTGCTCCACACTAATAAAAACCTCGAGGTTAGTGTATGTCTCAAGGTAGAGTGCCAAGGTGCCAGTGACAGTCTGGGCAAGTAACTGGGGTGCCAACACAAGACTGTATTCTGCTACAGCACCCCCCCCCCCTGCATACCCTCCCCACACCACTCTCCCGACCCTCCTCCATCAACCTTCCTCCCCCTACCCCCTCTCCAACCAGCTGCTTGATGTGATGGGAGAGTCGTTTATGTGTGTAGTGACAGTCAAGCGGTCGAGAGAGGGAATTAAATACGTTTAGCATTAAGTGATACACCAATAATGAGGAAAGAAGAGAGGAGAAAGTAGATAGAATAGAGAAGGAGTGAAAGTGGGGTGGATAAGGGAAGGGAGTCCAAGAAAGGGGAAGGGTAAAGGGAGGGGGAGTGTTAGTTATCAGGTACCTCAATGAGAAGGAGGGAGGGAGGTACTCGACCCCGTCAGGCAGGTACTTGAGGGAGGTAATATGCGGGAGGGGCTCGGGTCCAAATGGCTTGATTACTGATGACACCCTGTGATGTGTGGGGTGACAGTAGCGTGGGAGGTGGGGTGATAGGTGAGTGGGTGGCCTGGTAACGGGGCGGTCATCTGGTGAGTGATTTGGGTGGGCAGTAGATGATTTTGGTAGGTGGTGGATAATTCTGGGAGATGGATGTTTCTGGTAGGTGGTGGATGATTCTAGTGGGTTGTGGTTGTTGCCAGTGGGAGCAGCGATACGTTGGTGACAAGAACTGAACCACTTTAACAGCCGACCGTCGTGAGTGACGCCTCGTGACTGACTGCTCCTCTGAGGGTGTGTCTAGTGATGTAGGCTTCAGGCTGATCCAGGAGCGAAGTAGCTACCTGTATCGCGAAGTAGCTACCTGTATCGAGACATATCTACTGTACCTGTTTCGGGATTAATTTTTTTCGTATTTTTTTAATAAGTTGTGATACCTTACGTAATATGAGTCAGTATTGGTCTTTAAAGAAAAATCTTGAATAGATGATAAATGTTTGTCATTCATAGTTGAAATCATCTGTTGTTGGTGTCGCTCGCTACTGCCTATTGGATCCTCAACCATAACGAGGAGAATTGCCCCAGATTACAGGGTTATTAGTGAAAGCATAATAACCACGTGGGATTAATGAAAGTATTTAATGACGAAGAGGAAAGTTGAAACCTAATTACTAAGCGTGAGACGAGTTGGTGAACGATAACTAAAACGAGTTTGAGTATAATGAAAGCATTATTAGAGCGTACAATCCGATAAACCACACACACGTAGAGAGTTAATGAAAGCCTGATTAGAAGCTTCTCCTTGGATGTATTCCTCCGCCAGCCTGTGTGTCGGTCACTATTTCCCCTCGGGTCAGTGGCCGGCCAGCCAGCCTGTCTCTCGGTCACTATCTCCCTCGGGTCAGTGGCCGGCCAGCCAGCCTGTGTGTCGGTCACTATTTCCCCTCGGGTCAGTGGCCGGCCAGCCAGCCTGTCTCTCGGTCACTATCTCCCTCGGGTCAGTGGCCGGCTATCTTACACCGCCGTCTTGAGACATTCCATTCTCCTTTACTGCCTGTGTCTGTCCCGCCTCTCCGTGTTTCTGCTGACCCAAAACTAAATGGATTTTCATTTCTGGTCTGGATATGTCATACAACTGTCATGCTATGTCAACTGACCTTATGTATGATCATTATCCAGCTGTCATAAACCACAGTGTCAGAGGGTGTGTGTGTGTGTGTGTGTGTGTGTGTGTGTGTGTGTGTGTGTGTGTGTGTGTGTGTGTGTCGTTTATTACAGCGTGTCTTGTACTATACTCGTGTGGAAAGTTTGTCAAATAGCGTCGTGAAGTGAGATGAAGTAGCCAGATGGTACTTAGGTGGACCTGGTTTTCTTTTCTCCTCTCCTCCTTTCCTCCTCCTTTCTCCTCCTTCCCCTCCTCTCCCTCCTCCTTTCCTCCTCTCCCCCCTCCTCTCCCTCCTCCCTCCTCCTTCTCCCTCCCTCCTCTCCCCTCCTCCCTCCCTCTCCTCCCTCCCTCCCCTCTCCTCCCCTCCCCTCCCCTCCTCTCCTCCCCTCCATTCTCCTTCCCTCCTTTCTCCTCCTTTTCTCCTCCTCCTTTCTCCCCTTTCTCCCCTCCTTTCTCCTCCCTCTCCCTCCTTTCTCTCCCTCCTTTCTCCTCCCTCCTCCCTCCTTTCCTCCTCCCTTCTCCTCCCTTTCTCCTCCTCCCTCCCTCCTTTCCCTCCTCCCTCTCCCCCTCCTTTTCTCCTCCCTCCTCCTCCTTTCTCCCCTCCTCCCTCTCCCCTCCTTTCTCCTCCCATCTCTCCTCCTCCTCTCCTTCCCATTTCTCCTCCTCCCTCTCCCCTCCTCTCCCTCCCTCCTCTCCCTCCCATATCTCCCTCTCCTCCCCCCCTCCTCCTCCTCCCTCCTCCTCCTCCTCTCTCTCCCCCCATCCTTTCTCCCTCCTCCCCATATTCTCCCTCCTTTCCCCCCCCTCTCCCTCCCCATCCTCCCCTCCTCCCCCTCCTTTCCTCCTCCTCCCTCCTCCCCCTCCCTCCTTTCTCCCCTCCTTTTCCTCCTCCTCCCTCCCCTTCCTCCCATTCTCCCTCCTCCTTCCTCCTCCTTTCTCCTCCTCTCCCCTCCCCTCCTCCTCCTCCCTCCTCCCCTTCCTCCTCCTCCCCTCCTCCTCCTCCTCTCCCTCCTTTCTCCTCCCTCCTCTCCCCTCCCTCCCCTCCTCTCCTC